TCTCTGTATTTAAAGAAGGCAGCCCAGTTGTCACATGACAATTTTCCCTTGTATTTCATTGGCTGGAACAGGTTACATGGCTATTTCTAGCAAGAGAGAGGCTGAAAAATAAAGTCTTATTCCAGAGACCAATAAATAATAAATAAGGACAAAGGAAGGAAAATACATTGGGTTAGGCAATGATTATATTTCTTTGCTTCTAAAAAATGTGCATTTCCCAATATATATACACATACACACACTTGCTTGTGAGTAATGGTTTGTTGCATTTTTATTTTTTGGTATTTAATAGTCCAGAAAATAATGATGCATTTTACAGTTGACAACATCTTATACTGGAAGGAAGATGGTTGTGTTTTGCCAAGACAGAGAATTCTGGACGGAGGAACAGATTTGCTGTGGGGAAGAGAAAGGGAAGGAAGATAATTGGTTTGGTTTTCTACATGGGAAGTTTGAGGATTTGGGATTAGGATGCCAGACTGCGATGGGGCATGTGAACAAATTCATGTGGGAAAATTCCTTGAGTCCTTCAGTATCCTGGTTGCTTGTACCCTTTTTTTCTTCAAAAATAATTTCAAGTGGCAGTTCTTCACTACAGGTAGAAGTCATCTCACTTGTTGCCGAAGACTCAGCAGCCCTGCCAAGTAAAATAATAATTTTATAAGATGATAATGTATTAATTCAAGGTTTTCAACGAAATGAGCAGTGAAAAAATAAAACACAATTTAAAATATTAGCTTGTAGCCAAAAAGTGATGGTGAAATATTTTCCTGCCTTTGGCGATTGCATGTGAAACTTCTGATAGAAATGTCTGGTTTTAATTTATTTTCTTCTGGATGCTTTATTGAAGACCCATGTGCGAGGGGGAAAAATTAAAACCAGACAGCTTCAGATCCACTGTAAATTTCACATGCCATCAGAAAGACTAAACTAAATGTTTCTTTTGGCCACCGTGCTTGAAATACAAACAAAAAGTTAAATGAATTCACATTTTAATACTCCTATTTGAAATATTAAAATGGTATTTGGACCTAGACATCTAGTAAACCTAGTGGTAGATTCTATAATTTGAGTGAAATTGTAAAAACAATAAATGCACATAGCAAATTATTGCTGTTCCTGAAAGGCCTATATCCTCCATTTGAAATGTGAGGAATAAGGAAATGAAAGAGATTATTAATTTTTTTTTTCTAAAATGCAAGTCTAATAAAAGGTAGATTCATGGTTTCAGGTCTGCTGCCAGCAACACTGGGCCCCTTTCCCCAGATCCCACGAGGGTCCTCAGAAATGGCACGTGATCAAAGATGAAATATGAGAAACCAGTAAGCTCTGTAGACCTGGGAGAACAATCACATTAAAAATAATTTGTACAACAAATTGGTAGTTCCAAAGTAGTCTTGGGGATATAAACTACAGTAGAGGGAAAATAGGTAATAATATTGTAATAAGTAGGCATGGTGTTAGGTGGATTCTAGACTGACTGGGAGAATCACTTTGTAAGTTATAAAAATGTCTAACCCCTATACGGTACATCTGCAACTAATATAATATTGAATGTCAACTGTAACTGAAAAATAAAAAAAAAAATTGGACAAGCTTTTTTTAAGCAAAAATAACAAAAAAAGTTACTTTCACCAACTTAATTTGTTAAGATATATTTTTGTTGATGGTAGAGTGGAAGGGAGAGGGAGAGAGAGAAACATCAATGATGAGAGAGAATCATCCACCGGCTCCCTCCTGCATGCCCCCACCCCACTGGGGATGGAGCCCCAAACCTGGGCCTGTGTCTTGACCAGGAATCAAAGCATGACCTCCCTAAGTCAGGGGCCAATGCTCAGCCACTGAGCCAAACCAGTGAGGGCTCCCCAACTCATTTTTGATGGTTAAAAACTTCGTTAGATCCATTCGTTCATCCACCTATCCATTCACCTTCTACACCTTCTGGGGGCCTGTTGTGTGTCAGGGTCTAGGACAGGTCCTGGGAAAACGATCAGCAAACACGTGTGTGACCTGTGTTTTCAGAGAACCTACCTTCCATTCCGGAGGAAGAGATGATGACATCGCATTAAATGCAGCGTGGAAACAAACAGACATAGAAGAAAGGAACATGGAAGAGAGCGTGCAGGTGGGTCTACAGAGAAGGAGGCGCTGGGGCAGGGAGGCCGGAGAAGTAGCTGCTAGAAGCTGATCATTGTCTCACTAGCGGGAGGTGTGGACAGGATGGAAGGCTGGGCAACCTTAACGGCTCTGAAAGGCCAGGGCTAATCGCTCACTGTTTTGATGGAGACATTGGTAGTTGAAGCAGCCTCCACCCGTTAGTCTTATGATTGGCTATTACTGGAATTTCCCATAATCTTAATAAAAAGGATGGCAGCCCTACCCGGTTTGGCTCAGTGGATAGAGCGTCGGCCTACGGACTGAAAGGTCCCAGGTTTGATTCCGGTCAAGGGCATGTACCTTGGTTGTGGGCATATCCCTAGTAGGAGGTGTGCAGGAGGCAACTGAATTGGTGTCTCCCTCATCAATGTTTCTAACTCTCTATCTCTATTCCTATCCCTTCCTCTCTGTAAAAAAAAAAAAAGTCAATGATATATATGTAGGGATGGCAAAGCCAGAGCAAGGAGTAGTCCTCTCTTGGGCTCCCGCCTGGCCCCCATTTCCCAAATTAACGCTTTTCTAGTCTCTTTTCATTTGTGTGTGGCCTCCTCCAGAGCCCAAACCCTGAACTGAAACCCTGAACACGCGGGGTGTGAAAGGGGGTTCCACAGCGCGCCTGGTAAGCATCGGTGGCACGTTTGCTGCAGGGTAGCTAACAAATAGAGGCTTAGCCAACCAAGTCACTCGTTTCTTATAACCAGGATCCTGGAGGGGTTTGGGTCGGGGGTTGGTTCAGAAGGTAGGCGATACCATGACCGACCTGGGCTCTTTCCCCCTCTGCGCTCCCTGCCTCTGTGGTTGGCCAGCTCTTCTGCCCGCGCCCTCCTGCTGAGAAGACGCCAGGCCCCGGGCACTGTGTCCTCACCCAGCCGCAGCGAGGCAGGAAGGGGCCCCTTTTGTGCAGCAGCAGAGCTACAGCGCTGGTGGGACAGGCCGCGCGTTAGTGTCTGCAGGAGGAGTCAGGCTCGGCCAGCAGAGAAGGGGCAGGTGGGAAACGCTGCCTCTAAGATGCCAGGGACTCTGCCACGGGGAGTGGCTCTCAGCAGCCATCTTAGGGAAGCAGGCCGGGTCCATAGAGACCTGAAGGTCCTGCCAGTAGGCGGAGGCTGTGAAAGGCTGGGGCAGGACAGACAGACAGTCAGTGGCTAGAGAGACGGCGGCCGGGGCAGGCCACGGGGAGCCCGGAAAGGAGGTTAGGGGACTTTGTTTTCCTGGAAAATCCTGATTAACACACCGTGACGTGCTCCTCAGCAATAAAAAGAAACGAACTGTTGGAATGACGTGGGTGGACCGGAGGCCGTTATGCCGAACGAGGGAAGCCCATCGGGAGACATGCTGCACGCGTCCACTGACGTCTTGAAGTCTCAAAATTGTAAAAGTGGAAACAGCGTCGTGGATTTTATTTCAACATCAGGCTCCCGGCTCTGACATCCTAGGAGAGGCATTGAAGATGCAACCAGAGGGAGAACGGGGCGAACACACCTCTCTGTGCTGGTTTTGCAGTCTTCCTATGAAATCTATAATTTATTTCAAAATAAAACGTTTTAAAGAAAATTCCCAGAGACGTGTCTGTCTCTCTTGCCGTGCTTTTTCTTCCTGTGGATTTGATCTCTCCCAGGACTTGGCTTTCTCCCCTCGGGGCTATGCTGCCGAACCTCTTTCCTTCCCCCTTTCCCTGAGTATCATGTGTTTTTGTGTGTTTTTTTTCGGGTGGCCGAGGGGCAGAAGCAAGTCCTTCCCCTCCTGCTGTTAATCCTATTCTTTTAAGAAAGGTTATGTTTCTTTCTTTTTTTTCCTTTTTAAAATATATTTTATTGATTTTTTACAGAGAGGAAGGGAGAGGGATAGAGAGCTAGAAACGTCGATGAGAGAGAAACATCGACCAGCTGCCTCTTGCATACCCCCTACCGGGGATGTGCCCGCAACCAACGTACATGCCCCTGACCGGAATCGAACCTGGGACCTTTCAGTCCGCAGACTGTCGCTCTACCACTGAGCCACACCGGTTTTGGCAAGAAAGGTTATGTTCCTAAGGGCTTAATTCTAAAAGCAGCAGCAGCCCATTTTTTTAAAGATCTCTTTGAAAACCCCAAACCAACCACAAAGGAACCTGCTATGTATATAATATTATTGTCCATAAGGTCAGGCGCCCATACGACAGACATGTTTCCAGCACGTGTCTCAGAAGATGACTTTTATTTTTATTTTAGATGGGTGGAGCATTAATATTCTTGGTGTCTGTGGGTTATGACCACACGTTCAGAAATTACTGGGAACACAGTGACATCGCACGTCATGTTCCATGAGCTTCTCACAGACATCCACGCATCAAAAAGCCGTGGTACTGAAACTAAGCCACGTTTAGAGAACTAGAACGGTAACAAGGACGGACTGCCCATCCCTGGGAGCACAGCCGGGTCCTGGGAGCTTGCAAACTCCCCGGGGCAACGCTGTGCAGAGGTTCTCAGGAGCCAAGCAGGGCCTCTGGCTTTGCTATTCCAAGTCCTTTGAAAAAACGATGAGTTGAAAGCGTTTAAGTTCAAGTATTTCCTTTTGGTCTTTTCATTCATAACAAACGGTTCTCCCTTCACGGGGTACTGTCTGCCCTTCAAGCAGCTGTGCCTCTACCTCCCACCCAGCCGCCCACCTCTGCTCCCAGCCCCAGCCCCTGCGGGAGACCCAACCAGGCCCAGGGCTAAGCCCCGCCCCGCCCCGCGCTGGCCCCGCCCCGCGCCGGCCCCGCCCCCGCGCCGGCCCCGCCCCGCGCTCCGCGCCGGGACGGAGGAGGCGTGTCCCTCGCGGCGCCCCGTCCGCGCTCCGGCGGCAAGATGGCGGCGGTCTCAATGTCAGCGGCGCTGCGGCGCGCGCTGTGGGGCCGCGGGGCCGCGGCGGCGGCGGCCTCCGCTCTCCGGGGTCCATGCAGGTAACGGGACGGCGGGCTCCTTCCGCGGCTTCTCGGCGGCCCCCGCCGGCGGGCCCTGCGGCGGCGCCGGGCCAGGGCCTCGGGCCCAGGGGCGGGAGCGGCGGCGCCGCCGGGCCGCGGGGAGCCGGGCGGGCGGGAGAGGCCTGTGCCCTGTGGCCGCGGGGCGGTCTGCGGGGCCCAGAGGAGGGGCCCAGAGGAGGGGCCCGCAGGCTCCCCGCTCCCGCACCCTCCGTTTCTCACCGCTGGCCTGTGACCCCGTCCTCCCCTGGGGGTGAGGTCACCGCTGGCCTGTGACCCCGTCCTCACCTGGGGGTGAGGTCACCGCTGGCCTGTGACCCCGTCCTCACCTGGGGGTGAGGTCACCGCTGGCCTGTGCCCCCGTCCTCACCTGGGGGTGAGGTCACCGCTGGCCTGTGACCCCGTCCTCACCTGGAGGTCCCCGCTGGCCTGCCACTCCCATCCCTATCTGGGGGTGACTTCCTCTTTGCTGTCAGTGGTGTTGATTAGGTTTCTGAACAGAAACACAGTTTTATGCGCCCACCCGGCTGCTTGGGAGGGACATTTGTGGGAAGCCGATGTTGGTAAAATATGGAAGTTAATTTTCCAAAGGCTGGTGTCACGCTGGGAGGTTTCCCATCCAGAATTTTATTAAAGCCTTGCAATAATTCAGAAGTTTCTGTTATTGTTTTGTCTTGAAGCATTTTTTTGTGATGGTGATTTTTCTTTTTTCTTTTTTGAGACCACAGACTTCATGACTTAATCCTCCATTTCCCGCATTTTCCTGAATTTATTGCAGCCCTAACAGGACAGCACGGACACATACCCAGCATTCTCATCTGCGGTGATGACTGTCCGATTGCTGTTTCTAGTTTGTTGGTGTAAATGTGAGCCAGGGCTCATATAGAGTGCATCTTGCCTGAGGCCCAGTGCTGGGACCCAGGATGGAAGCACTGGATGGACTGATGGGCAGGGTGAGGGGCGAAAGGAAGAGGTTAAGATGCCAGTTAACTTAGTGTCGTAGTTAGTAAGTACAAAGGGAATGCAGAGGGTTAGAACTCCAGTTAGGAAGGATTTTTGGAGATAATTTTTTAATATATTTTATTGATTTTTTTACAGAGAAGAAGGGAGACGGATAGAGAGAAACACCGATGAGAGAGAATCATCGATCAGCTGCCTCTTGCATACCCCCTACTGGGGATGTGCCCACAACCAAGGTACATGCCCTTGACCGGAATCAAACCCAGAACCCTTCAGTCCGGAGGCTGACACTCTATCCACTGAGCCAAACCGGTTTGGGCTGGAGATAATTTTTATTAAGGTTTTAAATAGTGGGTTTGGGTGGGATCATTGGGTTAGGGAAAGGCTTGAAGTGGTGGTTCAGAGATATATAGGGTGTCACCCAAAATGCATACACACAATTTGAATAATTATAAAGGCGCTGTTTATTAAAATACATTTTATTTTCAAAATGGAGCTGTCAGCTGTTACAGTGTGTGTACGTTTTGGGGGACACGCTGTAGGTATAATACTGTCATTGGCAGTAAGATGTTCAGACGGGGGAAGGTAACTGAGTCTGCAGTTAACGGTTCAGCGTGCGGGGCACTTGACGAATGGAAAGTATTTCCCTGAGGTCAAGCACTGCACAGGGTGACTCAGCCGAGCCCTGTTCTCCTAGACATAATAAGGCATCCGCAGATGCCCGGGGCTGAAAGCAGATTGGAAGGGTCCTCGGTGTCTGGCTGAGCCGAACGTGGCTGCCAGCCAGCCATGGAAGTAGCCGCAGTGAAGACGTTACATTTTGGAAACATTGATGATAATTAATACTGCTTATCCAGATTCAAAGCCTTCCCGCTTGCAGATGTGTTAGGTTTGGAAGGAAAGTAAAAACTTAGGTCACATAAGATGACTTTCTTTCACACTATAAAAAACCAATTTCAAACACAAGTCAGAGGACACATGTATTTGTTCTGTTGCCGCTTTTTCACTCTGAGAGCTGAAGATGCTCCTCAGACAGGACTCACTGCTCAGCCTCTGCGCGTCCTCCCCTGGCACTGAGTGAGGAGGCCCTGAGAGGCGGGATGTGGAAAGAGAGCCAGGGATGTTCGGAAATCATTTGCAAATAAAGGGTGTACATCTCAGATGATATGAATAAAGTTAGGGAGGGTAAACCAGTGAGGCGCTTGGAAGGAGGAGGGTAGTGAAAAAAACTAAGTAGCGGAGAAAAGAAACTATCAGTAGAAGGAAAGAAGCAGTTAGCAGCTATTAACGTATGAACATAATTATCCTATATTAGAAAAAGGAAAACAAACAAAAAATCCAAAGACCTGCACACAAGCAAGAGAGAGAAACTTACCTGTACGGTAGCTGAGCTCCTGCTTGCGGAGTCCGGTTTGCGGGTGCTTCTGATTGCCCGGACTGGAGCGGGGAACCCCGATAAAGGCCTGCAGATCCCCTACTTGGCTTCCTAGGAATGGTCCCAGTAGGTTTAACTATTTGGGATATTAATCTGACAATGGCATCCCGTTTCAAAATAGCAGGTCTGAGGACTCCAGATATTTGGCTCCATGGTTTTTGTTTGTTTCTCTTACCTATTTGTGTCCACTTATCTCACCGCCTGTCTCATCCTTCTGCATTTGGACCGAGCTGTGCTCGCTGCAAACATAGCTCCTTAGGGTCCGCAGCAGCTGTAGGTGGCGGGGCTGGTGACTAGGGATGCGGGACCTTTTTCCAGGCCTGTTTGGTGCTCCAATCTCCAGTCCATCCTGCTGCTCTTTTTTTTTTTTTTTTTTTTTTTTGGCATTAGATAAGCAGTGTAGGATTATGAGTCTGCAGGAACCTCTGATGAGTAAGACAGCCTGAGGTTGGCAAGCATTCTGTGTGTATCACACCGTTACTGAGAAGAAGTCTCAGCTCGGATTTGAGACACAGCTAGGACATGTGGAAGCGGGGCAGTGGGTTCACTTCACACAGGCTGGGAAACGGGCCCCGCTGACGGGCAGCTCCTTCTGTGCCCTTGGAGCACATCAAAGCCACGTTTTGTGAGCTTGCAATGGTTTTAAGTTCTTTCAATGCTTTTCATTTGGCTTATCTTCCTCATTAAAAAATACTCATAATAAGCCGAAACCGGTTTGGCTCAGCTGTAGAGCGTCGGTCTGTGGACTGAAAGGTCCCAAGTTCGATTCCGGTCAAGGGCATGTACATAGGTTGCGGGCACATCCCGGTAGGGGGTATGCAAGAGGCAGCTGGTCGATGTTCCTCTTTCATTGACATTTCTAGCTCTCTATCTCTCTCCCTTCCTCTCTGTAAAAAACCAATAAAATATATTTTAAAATAAAATAAAATAAAAAATAAAATATATTTTTTAAAAAATACTCATAATTAGTTGGTTTATTTCATCAGTAGCAGTATTTTTGTTGAATAATTCTTAGGAGAAGTACATACTTTAATACTAATAAATATTAGAATAGTGTCCAGTACCTTGTAAATCTTACTTAAATAAAACATGAATTTATGTTAATTCAAACCTGAATATTCTTTAATCTTGGTCACAGATCGGAATATTTGCTTACATTCCCTGTGACATCTCCCTCACAATCCAGGACCGCTGGCTCCTAACGGCCTCTGCCTCCTGGCCTAGTTGCCCCTAACTGCCCCCCACTCCCCCCCGCTGCTGACCAGGTCACCCCTCATTGCCCCCTCCTAGCAGCCTCCCCTTACTGCCCCTGCCACTGGCCTGGTTGCCCCTAACTGCCCCCCTCCTGGCTTGGTTGCCCCTTCTGCCAGCCTGGTTGCTCCCAACTGCCCTCTCCCTCCCAACCCCCCCCCAGCCTGGTCATCCCCAACTGCCTGACACCACCCCCCACCCTCCCAACCCACCCTGGCCTGGCCGCCCCTCACTAACCCCCCTGTGGCCTGGCCGCCCCTCACTAACCCCCCCCACCCTCCCCAACCCCGCGGCCTGGTCGCCCCGCAGCCTATTGGGTCACCAGTCTGGTGGTTTCAGTTGTGACAGCCCCTGGCTTTTTAGATACACGGATGAGGAAACATACCGGCGAAGCAACAGATTTTTCAGTTTACAGGCATGCTGTTTTATTGCGCGTGGCTTTATTGTGCTTCACAGATGTTGTGCTTTCTGCAAATTGAGGCAAGGCCTTCCACCAGCAGAAAGATCCCAACTGGCTTTATGGTGAGCGCTGCTTTATTGCCGTGGTCTAGACCTGAACCCCCAATATCGCCGGGAACGCCCGTGCGTTACTGGGAAACGGTCTGACTTAGCCGTCCCAGGAACATGGGGACTGTGCAGTGAGCGGTGTTATGTCTGAGAAAGGTAAATTAAAACCTCAGCATCGCCCTGATTTCTTCTCCTTTTTAGTGAAGTGTGTCCTTTGAAAGACTGTGCTCTCTACTTTCCCTCCATTGTTCCTTCTGTACAGCGAGTCGCTGTGTGTGTGTGTGTGTGTGTGTGTGTGTGTGTTTTCCGGTTAGGATTTTTTTCCTGTAAACTTGGTAAATATTTTTGGTGAGAGACTTTCTATAGGTGACTTGAAATTTATGCTTTCTCACCTTCTTAAACAAAACCCATCCAGGGACGCGTTAACCAGGCGCCCTGAGCGGGATTTCCTGTTGTCCTGCTCCCCTGGTCCTTAGGACAAACACTTGCTGTGTTCTGCCGCCTTTCAGACGCAGCCAGGGTCTGGCAGTCCTCTGAGGGCTTGCTCTGTGCTGGTTAATGTGTTCCCAGGTCCTGCCTCAGTTTCCCTGCCCCGAGCGATTTCTCAGGTTTGGCTATCGGGCCCGTAGCCCAGTGGACCGTGTGTAACCTGAAGGAGGGCTAATGCAGCTCCGTTGATGGCCGAGTTTACCTGGGCCTAAAGCCTGGGGCTTTCTTAGGGTGTCAGATAGTTACGTACAGCACAGCGCTCTTACTGTAACTTCCTGTCTGTTACCCCAGAGCCTGATGGAAGCTTACTGCACCTGAATTATGCAGTGGCCACATTTTT